GGCCGTAATCACCTCCTACCACACACACACACACACACACACAGAGGAGCTTTGCATGAATCAAAATTCAAAATAATCCCATCATCGAGTCCTCGGCCTGTCAGGTGCTCCTGTGTCTGAAACGAGCAGCTCCTGCTGATCTCACCTGAGCTTCACCGCGCACACACCGAGCTCATCGTCATGTTTAACCTCCAGCAGGACATGCATGACAGGAAACCTTCACGTACCACGTCATCGAGGGAGAACTGCGCTCCCTGCGCCACGACGTCACCGTTAATGGCCACCATGGCGCAGCCATCGTAGTATACGCGGTCTCCGTCGCAGCCCCTCTGGTTGGCGTACAGGTAGATTCCTCCGCTCTGCAACGTCACCAGCAGACGGCGTCACGTACAACACCGTCGCGCTCAGCGCTCGGCCTCGTGTTCGAGTGCGTACCTTGGTGGTGGCCGACTTGATCAGGTTGACCCTCTGGTCGGCTTTGCGGAGCTCGTGGTGGCTCGCGGACGAGTTGGTGAAGATTTCAACGCCGTCCCGACCCATCTGAATGTGAGGGCTGAGGAGAGAACGGACGTTAGCAGGAGAGCGAGCGCCATCGCACCTGCGCGATGCCGGCGGCCTCTCCACACCTGTCGGGGTTCCAGAGCTCGGCGCAGATCTCCGTGCCGATGCAGGTGTCCTTCGTGGAGAGCACGCAGTGGCCGAAGGGGACGGTGTCCTGCAAACAGAAACGAGGCGACAGAATTCAGAAGAGAAGCTCTCACCTGACACGAGCTCGTAGCTGTGACGGCAGAGGTTACCTGGCCTGTCACCTCCTGGATCATTCGGGGCAGGAAATACTCCTCCACCTGCCTGAAAGAACCAATCACACCCACGTTTAAGGACACGTGGTCACCTGCAGACACGTGACGGATTAAAGCTGAACTGCAGAGTGACCAACCGTAACTTGTTCCAGGGGGAGAACCAGCGCACCTCTCTGTAGTTCCCGTGGTTGGCCATCAGCATCTTGGGCCTGATCAGCAGGATTTTTCTATGAGGAAGAAGCAAAGTGTTTGTTTAGCTCCATGTGGAGGAAGAGGAAGAGGAAGACTACGACCTGTGCAGAGAAGAGGAAGGAGGAGGAGGAGGTGTGGCCTTGCTGACGTACCTGTTGAGGAACAGGACGCGGCAGTTGTAGCGCACGTTGTGATGCATGATGGGCCTGAAAGGACAAGAAACAGTCAGAGCTGCAGGAGAGGAGACGTTACAGGTGCACGCCAGCAGGTGGAGCCAAAGCCTCGCGCTGCACTCTGCACACTCACATCCCCACGTCACAGATGATGTCCTGAGTGACGGGAGACTCCAGAAGGTTCCTGAGGACCTGGAAGCTGTGCAGCAGCGTGTCCGACTCATAGAAGTGGTCTGCGCAGCCGTAGCCGCTGAAACAAAGCAGAGAAGAAGAGTTGGAGCAACAGATGACTCGTGAGGTTAATAAGGACGTAAAAGACTCGTACCAGATCTCCAGCTCTGGACCCAGCCTGTATTTGGCTCCGTGAGCTTTGGCTTCCTCGATACCTGCAGGCAGACGGAAGAACGGCAGGATCACACACACCTGCTGATATCACAGACTCAGATAATCAGCCTGTGACACAACTAATAACTTAACATTAGTTTTATTTATTTTCTTATCGCGATCTCGTGTCATGTGACTCGTCCACCTCCAGTAACCCACTCAGTCTGCAGACGACGTCACTGTTAGTCAGAGCAGCCACGGCTGGTCTGTGTGTGCCTGTGTCCACACACACCCAGGACACTCCGACAACCTTCACAGGGTCAAA